TTGGCTTTCAAATCAGTCATCCTTCTTCAGCTAGAGATGATGCACTGTATCCAGTCACAGGTTCTCACTTTCCTCTGGAAAGTTATTTAACACCCAGAAATAGAAAGGCAGTTTTTACTACGTATGTGAGAATTCGCATGGTAACGTGCAGTTCTGTCTGCTTTAGTAGAGTACCAGTATTATCAAGTCTTTACCATTGCTGCAAGAGTGGCTCAGGCCGTCTCCTTCCTGTCTACTCATTAAGGATTACTGTGGAATTGTTAGTGAAAATTAAATTATATTAAATGTGAATTTTAGTTTAAATATGATGTAGTTCTACATCTTGTGTTAGAAGCAGCCTCTTCTATTCTTGTCATCTATGAAACAGAAAATAAGTGTTCCCAACCTGTGTCACAGAAGCAGTGTATTTTACTTTCACCCATCTTTTGCTGCCAGGTGCAAACAAGACTTCAGACATTCATTTCTAGCCTGCAACAGAAAACAAGTGAGATCGAGATTTTAGCAGTAAGTATTTGGCAGAAGCCTGAATTTCAAATTCTTAATTGAATTGGATGATGCAGTTGCTATCTGGAACAAACTACTGCCAATAGCCTTGCTTTAGAGATACAAATGAACCAGACTGCTGGTTAAATTAAGGTCCATGGTATGTTTCTTTAATACTTGAAAAGTATCTCAAATTGTGTGTATTGGACAGTTGCATAGAATAAAATTTATAAAATATTTAGTTGTAAATTCTTAAGCTGTACTTGCACTAACTACTGTGGTAGATTTAATAACTTGTTCCTGCTAGATTTGCTCTTACATTTAAACCAACATACCTTTTGCCTGTATATAGCTTTTAGACTTTGCTGACCGTGTCACAAAGGACTTTAAAACAGCATATGCTTTTCAGGAAACATGTTGCCTATTTGCCTACAGGTATTTGGAACTTTCTGTTGTGGAATCTGTCAGGAACAGTTTGTTTACAATGCTTAAAACCTTGGTAAATTCCAATTCTATCAGCATGAGTGCTGCTTTGGAAATCAAGAAGTCTGGCTCCCTTCAGTATAAGCTAATCTCTAGTTGGCAAACTGGTAACAGAAGAACTGCGAAGTATTGATTTCTTGATGATATTTTTACAGGTAGATCTACCAAAAGCAACTGTGATACACTTCTTATCATTGGAGGTAAGCAATTCAGTATTGTGGTTAAAACTCTTAATTGAACAATAGATGATAAATTCTGTTCCTAATGAAGTGGAATGTAAAATTCACCCATTGTAGTTTTTCTCTCTTAAGGAGTTTGAATTAGGTTTTAAAACTTGAAAGGTGTTGTGTTTTGTTTTGTTTTACCCAAGGAGCATGACTGAGGCTAGAAAAACCTTTGTCAAATGCCCAAATTATGCAAAACACGATTAGGAAGTCCTGATCCAAAGCTGGGTTTGTTTTTTTTTCCCAAGAATAGTTAACTGAAATTAGGTCTTAGTATTCATTTTCAGAAACAAACAAGCATTAATAGCAGTTTCAACAAAGGTGTTTCTTGAAGCTGTTAATGAAGGACCCAAAATACAGAGACAATTGTTTCAAGTACAGTAGCTGAAACTTCTCTTAGTGAAGCCAAGATAAAAAGGAGACATATAAGTATTATATTGACACCTTTAACAACTCGGAAACTGCTCGATAAGGGGGGTAAAAACCCACCAAAGACAAAGCTTTTTTTCTTTCCTCCAGTGATGGCAGTAGCTTTGAAGTCAGAAGTTCTCCCTAGAGCGGTGGATGCCTCCCTACCCCTTCCCCCCCAAAAAACAAATGGCATCCTGCCTGGAAGTGGATTTAGTACTTTCATACCTTTCATCTGCTGCTCTGAAGCAGTGCTTGTTGGTAATCAGACCTCAGTGAAACATTTGAAAATATTTTCAAAATACTTAGTTCATCCAGTCTATCCTAATCATAGAGATAGTTTACTGCCTTAAACAAAAAACCCCACACGATCAGCTTGGATCATTTACTTTTGACCACCCTTACTTCTCATATTCTGTCCAGCATTGTGAAGCTGATAGAGCTCTTTTCATTGCTTATGTCTTTTTATCACTAAACTCTGTGTTACAAAACTGATCACTAAATTCTTAATACATTTTCTTAAAAAAAAAAGAAAAAAAATTTAAAATCAGGTTGCACATGTTGTTTGTATGAATTTTGTTTGAAACCTGTTTGATTAAGGAGCATTGACATTACACAATGTTCAGAAGACTAAATCCTATTGAGAGAAGTATTTCCCACATGAGAGAATGTAAGACTGTATCCTAGTTCCTTGTAATTTTTTTTTTCTTAGTTTGATGGAGATAGACAAGCCTTTGATGCTACTGTGAGACAACTGATGTCACGATGGCCAAAACAGAGATGTTCATACTTACAGGCAATTTGTGATGAAATTTACAGTATCAAAGTGGAAAAGAGGTAAATTTGTTAAGCTCTTACAGGTACCTAAAACATCTCAATTATTTCTGCATTCCAACTTTGCTAAATAAGCTACTCTTAATTTGTCCTCCCCTTTCCCTCTCCCTGAGAAAAAAAAGAAGTACTTAGGAAATGTGTATGGTTCCTTGAGTACTATGGGAAGAGTTTACTGGTCATCTAATCCTCACTTGTGGTACAATGTAAATTCTTATTTTTATAAGAATTTATAAGCTATGTAAATTCTTCATTTTTATAAGCCTTCTCAAGAAATTCTAAAGTGCATTTGCACTGTTACCTCATTTGCTGTTTTGTTCATAAACTTGAATAGCAATTGACTATATACTGCTATTCTACTACACAGTATCCCTCTCTTCTCATGGCAGAGACTCAGCTCGCTGTTTAAAGCTCACAGGCAGATTTAATTCCTCCTGCTTCAAAGGAATATGATGGGAATCTGGCACAGCTGACAGACTGCCCAGCTTTAGGCAAACACAATGCATGCTCTCCCAACATGTACAGTAGAGGCTGTTTCTGTTTTCTAAGCATAAAAATTTATGTTCAACTCGTAGTCTCCTTGTTGGATTCTGGCGAAGCTGAAACAGATAGTCTGGGCACATCCAGTTTTGAGCCTCAAATTTTCAACTGTTGCATGTACGGGTACAGTCAAGTGAGACCTGGGTATTTATGTCCTATTGTGGGTTTCATTTATCATACATTTTTCTTAAACCTGTGTTCAGCTTGAAGGTACGACTTAACCTTTAAATGAGACTAAAAATTGACTTGGATTCCTTTTTCTTAGCGATACCTCAGAATTGCTTCCAGTTCGCTGATGTTTACTAAGGCAACTAAGTATCAAGTGAAACTTTTTTTTTCCTCTTCCTGTGCCATGCAAGGCTGTGAGCAACAGAACCCAATTACTACATACAAATAATATTCCAATGTTGGGTATGAAATTAATGAAGTCCCTGATGAAGTTTTCCTTTCCCATTTGATGCCTGCACACAGAACATGGCTTAGCAGTAAGCGTTCAGATCACCAAATGAAAACTGAACAGGCTAGATAAATGGGAAGAGAACGAAGGGGAAAATTGCAGTCACAGCCAAAGGAAGTAAAACGTAATGCTTTTCTACTGAATCTTTGCTGTTAACTTATTGCTAAGATTTGCCACAGGTATTGTAGCTTTTGAACCTGCAGTTTCAAACTTTAAAAATTTTCCCTTCCCTCTGCAGGGTTCCTGCACTTATCCTGTACAGTTACCGAGACGAATACAAGGTTTTGTTTTAGTGCTTAAAACATCTTTTTGTGGGATGCTTTTTCTAAGAGACAAGTGTTTCGTCAGAAGGAATTTCAGAAAGCTGTAATAATGCAAGACAGGCAACTAATGCCGTTTTGTGTCCAGGTTGAAATTCATGTGTAAGATAAAGCTGTAAATTTATGTCAGAAAGTGGAAATAAATGTTTTAGGCAATTAAGGAGCAAGTCTGACTAGAGCCACAGACATGTATTATGTAATTCTTGCCCCTTAACGCCACAAAGGAGATGATCAGCTTTGCAGGTGTGAAACTACTTTTTTTTTTAAATACAGTTTCAGAATGCCTTTTATGTCAACATGCAACAGTAGTACTGAAACAAGAAACTCAGTTCAAAGATTAAAGAGGATGAATTATCTTCAACTCCAATGGTTTTAAACTTTTTTGAAGGGTTTTTATGTAATAAAAGGTTTGGCTACTGAGCCTTCTTGAAATACGTATTACAAGATTTTGTGTGTTTGTTTTTTTTTTAAACCTACTGTTTTAATTTCCATATAAAAAGATGGCAGACTTCAAGCTGAGAGAGTTGTTGCAAGCCTGCCTACACTTTGCATTCAAATCAAGCAGCAGTTTCCTGGGAGATGGAATAAGACCTGATACAGGAAAACCTGTTTCAAACCTAAACTTAAGACTTTTAAGAGAAACAATAACCTGCATGTGCTAGAGGCATAACCAAAGTCTTGAACTAGCTTTCTTTGTGTGGGTTGTCAGACTAGGCTTGAAGTTAAAGCCATAGTAATGATGGGAATCTTACAATTATCTTCTTGAAGCTAAACTGTAACAGAACCCCATCAGGAAAAGTGAAGCTGAACAAATTTGAAGATGAGTTACAGCAGCCATAGTTAACTAACTACGCATTATATTTCACATCAAACTACTTATAATACCGGAGTGAATATGCAGAAAAATTAGGGATTTCTGGAAATATACTGGTGCTTACCCTCCCTCCCTACCTGGTACCTGCTATTTGAACAGCTTACTCCTGTTCCTTTCCTCTAACTCAAATGATTGCCTTTAGCACTGCAGGCGCATTGCATCAAGAAATACCTACTTACTTTTTCTGCCCTTTCCTTTAGTAAAGAGGAGGACGAAGTTAAAATATGTAAAAAGAGGTAACTTGAAAGACTTTTGAGAACTGTGAAAGTTGTAACAGCAACACACAAAGTAGCATCAGGGGAGTCAGTCCTAAAGGCTCAGATAACTCCCATTCCTAGCAATTCACCAAGCCAAGTCACATCAGTCATTACAACCAAATCCATTTCTTATTGTGTTTAATAGGAACAGTTAAGTATTCACCTTTTACATCTGCTCACATGAAGGAGCTACTTTAAGATGCCAAGTATGGGGAAATTTAGATCTCTGAATATACTGAAAGATAAAGCTTTAAAAACAAAAAGTTTAGGTGACATGAGCATTTTTAAGCCATGTCTGAAGGGAACATGATGCAGAGTCCTGCCCTCCCCCCCATCCTGAGCCAGGGTCAGCACAGCTGGATCAGCATGGAGCAAAGGCACAGCTGCCTCGCTCTGCAAGAGTTCAAGCACTGTGCTGGCTGCCTTAGGGATATCTGCACTGCATCATGTAGACATGATCCCTCAAAAGATGACAGGAACAGGAAAGCTGCTGCTCCTGGTAATGTGTTGGCACCCACTTTCCCTAGTTCTGCTGAGGCTTATCTATACAACTGGGCATCCATCACTGGAACTCCTGCTCCAGTCTTACTTTGCTGCTGGTACAGTGCATTTCTCTTCACCCTGTTACCCCCCACCCCAAAGAGGTTTTACACCGCCCACTTGTACAGTACAAAACAGCAGTATAGGTACAAAACTAGTTGGCAGCTAAGTGTAAAGCTCTTTCAGTGTAAGCCTGTAAATAGCCCTGCCATACAACAATCCATAGAAAGCACCTTCTGCTCTGAGTTTAAACAAAAGTACTGATCACGTCCCAGTATCCTGCTGGAAGGAAAGCCAAAGACAAGTAACTCAAAAAGAAATGGACTTTGCTTTGAGCAAGGGTCAAGTCTGTTATAGTGATGGTAGGACACTGTTCCATCACTGTGTTGCTTTACTCTTCTTGTTTTTGCTTTTCTTGTCTTTCTTCTTCAAGCCATCCATGTTAGCTCTCAGCAAATTTGAATATGCCTGAAACAACAATTGGAACCATTAAAAGAACAAATACTTAAGTGACAATATACTAGAGGTAACATTTTACATATCACTAATGGATAAGTATCTGCATTTTCTCAGTGAGAGAATCATGCTCTTACACCCTACACTGGGAAACTATTGTTTCTAAACCAATGCAGAAAGTTAGATTAAAAAAAAAAATAATCCCATTGTATTTTAACAAATGCAGATAGGTGGGTAGTCTAAGGTTAATCTGTATGGCAGTTCAGCCCTGAATCAACCCATTCACAGCTGTCCACTGCTTCCTACTATCCACTCCCCAATACCTACAGAAAAGATAAAAGGCATAAAAAAAAACTTACCATCTGGAATTTATTTACTTCCTTTGAGCTCACCTACAAAAGTAATATTGGAGGTTAACCAGGAAAACACTGGCTTCTACTACAAACCAAATATCAGTACATGTTTACCCAGCAGTGACCATCTAGTCTTTCTGGCAGCAGTTGGACCAACTCGTCACATTCAGTGGTAGGCAGGCTGTAGCAACATGTCATAGGACTTCACCAATTTAGAAGACTGAAAAAACTCCTTACTCGATTGACAGAATCCTCTGGAGGCCATTCATAGAACCATAGAATGGTTTGGCTGGAAGGGACCTTAAAGACCATCTGGTTCCAACCCCCCTGCCATGGGCAGGGACACCTTCCACCAGACCAGGTTGCTCAAAGCCCCATCCAAGCCGGCCTTGAACACTTCCAGGGATGGGGCATCCACAGCTGCTCTGGGCAACCTGTGCCACTGCCTCACCACCCTCACCGTGAAGAGTTCATCCCAAATCCCTGTGGTTCCAAATGGGAAGAATGTGAAGAAACATTCTAAGGAAGGTTTTATTTACTTGTAGGACCATAACAATATGCTGCAGCCCAGATTCTGTCAACTATTTCTTAAAGTGACATTTTTTTCCTTGGGTTACATCATAGAGGAGAGCTAAAGTCATCAAAAGCCCTTCCCAATCTCTCATTCAAAGTAAACACATCAGGTTTTCAACTTCTAGTTAATGTTTCCTGAAATACAAATAGCTCTAAACAAGAAACAAACAGGTATGCTGAGCAAGATTAAGGCTTAGAAGATGCTGCCCATGCCCACACGTTCTTGCCAGGAAAGAAGGATCCTTCCTACCATTTCACAGTCTGGGACCATTCAGTTCTTTCCTGGGCTGTAAGAACCTTCAGTAATTCCAGCGAGGTGTATAGGACACTACCTCTTTGTCACCTGAGGCTTCAGCGTTAGGTGTGCAGGACCTTTCTTCTCCTTGGAGCCACACCATTTGGCCTCACACTGCAGGTTCCATAACTGCCCTGTGTCCTTCTGCTCATGTCTCTAGAAGAAGTTTCCCCCTTCCCTCCAAACAATTTCACCTGACTCAAAACACAACAGCCAAGGTTACTGAAAACTGCCAGGCAGAGTCCCTTTCTCCTGTCCTGCAATACCATTCTGAAGCAAAATTCAGCATACAGAGCAAAACTACTGTCCCATCTGTAATGCTGAGTGTAAGCATTAAGTCTTCAGGTAAGTGTAACACTTCAGCATCCCAACTTCAGCTGTGTGTTTAGCTACTTTATGGCTTCTCTGGAGTTAAGAGCGTACTTCTCAGGAAATTCATGTAAAGATGGATTTCACTTAAAATATGGGGCATTAAATAAAAGACTAATCTTTCTAACCCAAAGTTGTCACTTACCACTGTGCTAATTTTCTTCTTTCCATCAGTTGCTCTTAGAAGACATTTATTGTCTGCTGGTTCAAAACTTTCTACGTGGCCTTTGCGTGGGACTGGTTTTGTTCGGCCATCATCTGCATTGAAAGACAGAGAATGTATATTCATATTTCACTAAAATCACTGGATGCCTCCTGACACGAGATGTTAAAAGTTGCTTGTGAGGAGATCCGTAAAACACCTTGGAATTTAAGGCCATCTGAACTGATGTTGTTGCCAAATTGTTCACAGATCCCTTCTTCTGTAACCCCAGAAGGATCTGTTCCATAAACTACATCTGCTGGGAAAAAATGTAAATCCTTGCCCCGACATGCTGCACGAACTGCCCACTTCAGCAGCGGTATGTTTTAAATGTATGTCAAACTGCAGCCTAGGACACTTGACTTCTCAAATAGCACCAGCTAGCCAAAAACCAGAGAAACATAAGCATACAAACCCAACACTATAATTCTCCTTATATAGAAATCTAAGGATTTCTAATAATTGTTTAGTAATCAAAGTCCCAATATTTCCTCCACTTTGAAATACTGTCTTACTTCCAGGTTATTAGTACTGCAGCTGACTGATCTGTCCATAAGACTACTCTTGTTCTCAGATACTCTGAATTACAAGTGTATCTTTTAAAATACATGCTAACAACACTAAGTTTGATTTAGAGAAACACCTCTTTAATCCAGTAACAGACTTAAAACTTACATTTCTTCAGCGTTATGAAAACACTCCCCGAAGTTCTGCACTTCTGAAAGAGTCTGGTAAGCTCCGTCAGGAACTGCAAGAGAAACCATCCTTGGTTGGAGGCCACCACGCAGGCGTTTATTTCTTCTCCCTGTGCAGCCCAGCGACCCGCTGCCCGGGGAGCAGCCCCCGCCTCGCTCCGGCGGCCCCGTTACCACAGGCCGGGCGCTCCCGGTTCCG